CAATAATTTAAATGAACTTTTATAAAATTGCTATTTTTTTATCTCAATTTAATTTTTCTTTGCCAACGTAAAGGTTAAGTTGCTTCTTTTTACCCCACAACTAGCTAGTTTAAAAATATTATGGACACATTTATTCATTAAAGTTTAAAAGCGGATCAATCGCAAAATTTGTTTAAATATTAATGTCAACAATCTATATTTATAGATTTATATAATATGTTTTAAATGAATCTGAGTTAATTCAATCTATAACAATTACCCATACCCATTACGATTTATTTTCAGTTTTCAAGTATCGTAATATTACATTAAAAAACTCAAGTACAATCATTCTATATTTTGAACGCGATATAAATAAATTAAATATTTAAATATATATATATATATATATATATATATATATATATAATTTATAGGTCAGTATAAACCACATGTTTCTCTCAAAAACAATCTGTCCAAGCTCACCTCATACAACGATATAGAGATCTGAAATTAAGCTGATAAAAATAGACTATAAATTCACTTGCAATATTTATGTCGTATACAAAAATATTTTTTATAGAATTTAGTTGCTATTGCGATGATTTTGAATTTACTAATATTTAAGTACTTATATTTAGATATAATCTTAAATTAAACTTGGTCAAAATATAATTTTATAATTTTGATATATAAAATTCTATAATATAACTATTTTATATAAATTTAAATAAAATGAGATCAAAATGTTCCTGATCTATAAAAGAACTTTATAAACATTAAAATTTTATATTAAATGATCATAATACGGATATCATTTTAATGTAAATACAATCCTTTGTTTTGTACTCTATTTTATTTATATTTATGAAATTTTTCATTAATGTTACTAGATGCTAAATTATTTAGCAGGTATAACTAATACTGTAATTAAAAAAATAATAATAAAAAATAAACGTTAATAAAAGAAATTTATAAAAATAGTCGTTCACAGTTTAGATAGTATTGATTATGATTTTTTTATTTACGTCTATTTGTCCAAACTATGAAGTTGAATATCGTTTTCGAAATATAATTGCTGTTCACGAATAATTAGTTTTGAAAACTACTCATCAGAAACTTTACACAAATCTTTAGATTATCCTTACATTATTTTCATTTTATTCAAAGTATCTATCTAATATATTTTTTTTTCGTATTTCTATGAATATTTGTAAATGATCACAAAACCTCACACGTTGTTTAGTTTCCGAGTATAGAATTTTGATTCAGGGGAATATTCTATAGAATATATTCTGTAGATTATTATTAGAATATATTCCTAAAATTATGGAAAAGCTAAGACATTATCATAACTTTCTCCTTAATAACTGTTTTAATTAACCAAATATTAAAAAATAGTTAATCAGCAATATAATTCAAATGAGTCTTCATAGTATTTTATTTATTTAAATCGGTTTCTATTATGCTATCTGAAATTTAAAGTACAAATCACTACAGTTAGGTTTTCAATAATAACTGCATAATCCTTAGTATTAAAAAACTAATAGCTATTAGGTAAACTCAATACCCCAAAATTTTCAAGAATTATTACTTTTGATTGAACTTTTAATTTAAAATTTTTAAAATCGGTCGAATTTGAAAGGCCCTTATTGAAAAAAAATATACTGAAGTATATTGCCAAGTTTCATGAAAAGTTGGTGCATTTAAAGGGGATTGTAAAAAGAGAAAATGCTTGATGGTTTCATAATAAAAAAAATTCATAAAACAAATAAAAATCTAAAAATTACGATTTTTGCTAGTAAACGCACATTGAAGAACAATAAACATTTGAACTAATTCGGAGTAAAATTCATACATAGAATTAATTTTTTTATTATTTACGAATAATATGCACGAGAAGAAAAAAATAATTGTTAGTAACAAAGAATGTAAAATTGTCTTAAGTTTCTTTATATGAATTTATTTTGTTATTGATGCCTAAATCAATAAAATTAATTGCTTTAGTTTAAAATGCAAATTATCTTTCTGGAAACATCTTTATGGTGGTAATCTGTTTGGAAAACTTCCACTGCTGCGCAATGCGGTTGCCCTACTTACTTTATATTATGGAACTATAAATTTCTTTATTTTTCAACAAATTTCTATCAAAATAATTACTAACAATTCATTTCCTAATTTGCCTAATGTAACTGTATATTAATAATAATTAAAATCACGCTTGAAATAAATTATAAAATTTAACGTGGTTTGTCTATTATAAAAACGAAATTACTACTAGGCTCGAGATTGCTAAAATAACTCGAATAATACAGTAATAATAATATAAATCTATGATTACATATTGATTTTATTCCAATAAAATCAGCCTAAGTTCATTTTATAAAGAGAAACATAATTCTAACATTTTTATCTGTAGAATATCATGAACCATAATTAAAACTAATTAGTAGATGCGGAAGTGCTATTCAAATATTGTTTTCAAAATGAAAAAAACACTTAACGATTTTAAAAATAATATATATACTTCTTATAATTCAAGCAATGCAAAATTTACTATAAATCTTACTGAAAAAATAAAAATATTATTATCAACAACTTTGTAATCAACGTAATTTATTCATAGAAATATCTTGAAGCCACCAGGCCAAAATATTTTCATAACTTCTTAAACTATTTAATATTTATTGTAAAAATAAATTCTAAATTCATAACAATTCATAACATGTTGTTACAAAACATAATCCTAATCAAAATCATAATCATTTACAAATTCTTTTAATTTTTAATTTGTAATATAAATATCTTTGGTTGACTCTTATCTTCAACGTTTTATTTCAAGGATCTACTATGGTATATATGCATTAATGTCAAATGTGTATTGAATTAATATTTTAATAAAATTTGATATTCTGTTAAATATATTTGATATGACTTAATGTTTCATGTGAAACTTGATATATCCTGTAATCTCGTAGTCAAAACACCAGGTTAATTAAAGATTTTATCATTATCATTTTTATTTATTTTTTATTTCTGAAACTTCAAAAGCATTTATGTCGAATGATTCATTAAATATTTCTTACATAACATATTATTGCTCGTTAAAATGTATTTTTTATTGCGCATGTGCATGAAATATTTTATATTGAGCATGAGCTTTGGATGGTCTGCATTATGTTCTATTGAAGTCATATTTCAGAAGATAAATTTTATAATGTGATGGCTATTAATGATGATAATTACCCAATTAAATATTATTTATCAAAAATAAATTTATGATAGATAGTACATATTACTTTCAATAAATAATTTTTTAAAATGTTTAGATTAAATGTTGGGCTATATGAGAGCATTAGACCAAATCAAACTAACTACATATAAGTATTTTAGTTTTTGCTCACAACAATGTATTAATAAAATTCACATTTTCTCAAACATCAATATGTGATTTTTTTAAGTCAAACTCTGTAGAAAATAAATAAATTTGGAAAATGTTTTAATCTGCTGTGTTCTCCAAATGAAATAATAACTGTTATATATTCTTGAGTCTGAAATATTGATTCTCGCAAATTTTCTTATTTAATTAGAGATTTGATGATAATTTTTATTAAAATTTTTGAAAAAATGATTTTTTATTTACATTTATCATCAATTTTTAAAGTGTTGCAATATAATTTTAGAAACATTTAAATATGTGTGGTAAATGCATTACATAAAAATATGAATAGATAATAAATGAATACTCCAAAAAAATTTTAGTCACCTATCTATGAAAATTATCATCATTAAAATTATAATTATGTAATCAAATAAGTAAACTTACTATAATTATTACAATTGCAATATAATGATTCTGGCTCAAGAATATAAAACAAATATTTATTTTTTTATATTGGATGATAGTAGAGAAAAGAACTGATTTATTTCCTTTCTGCAGAAAACGATTTAAAAATTTGTATGTTGATGTATTTATTATTTATGTAATGATTTTATCCGTAAGAATTAATTTTATTCAGTAAATATTTTCTTCTCATATTATTTACGAAATATGTGAATACTCAACAATATTTTACTGCTTTTTACTCAAAGTGAAAAACAACAGAATTGGCTGTACATTTTTAACCTGATTTAATAAAAATACTTCATAGAAGAGCATCTTCTGTGATTTCTGATGTTTTATTTATTTATTTATCAATATTTTAGTTAATTGTGCAAATTGTGCTTCCAAAAAAAGAATTTTTATCAAACATCATCAAATAAATAACTGTGCCAAATCAAAATGTAAACATCAGATATAGAAGCACATTTTTAGCCACAGCATGAATTAACCTATATGGGCCGAATATTTATTTTACATCAAAAAAATTAGGAGAACAAAAAATCATTTATTATAAATATATGTATCCAAATTAAAAACAAAAATTTCTATCTATTTTTTTGTGTCAATTAATTATGTGACTTCCAAGTCACAGCGGTCTTAATTGTTTGCACATGAAAATGCTAATTCAGGTTGAAATGCTATCAAAGGTCATAAATATTTATATTGGTCTTGACAATGTTATACAATTGAGATTTAGGCGTCATTTCGCACAAAAATATGCCATAATTATTTGGTAAAATATCGAAGAATTTGTGACCTTAAAATTACACGGGCCCATAGATGGTTAATCAACTTTTCATTAAAGACCACTTGTTTCTTATTGGTGTTTTCTTATTATTTTATCATGCAAAAATTTTATGTCCAAAGAAAATAATATTTGTCAAGCATTGCTAAACAAAAAAATCAAAATCAAAATGATTTAGATTGGTTCAAGCTATGTTCAAAATTTTATGCATCCATTTATGTATCATTTATTTATCACCATTTATTTATCTTCTGAAAAATGACTAAATATGACGTCGCATATAAATATTATAGTAATTACCTTAATTCTCCATGTTCTGGATGTTTGTCTTCATCAATTCTATTACATTTCTAATTGTTAAGTAATTTTTTAACCATAAATGTGAATTTTTAGGTTCGCGACGTCCAAGTCTAGCATCGCTCCACAGTAGGTCGTCAGTACGAAGCTACAGTCACCGTCGTTATGAACGTGAACTCGAACAAAAGGAAGCTAGACAAGAGATGAAAAAACATTTAGCCCGAATTCAAGCAGCTAATAATTTCAATAATAATAATAATAATAATCACAATTTGACCGGAAGAAGAGATGGCCATTTGCCTAGCCCGAGAAGCCCGAATTCGACCGACGAACTGTTGCCTACTATTCTAGACGATAGCAGTGATGTAAGGATATATGAAACTGTAATCAATATAATGGACCTAGTGCTATGAATATTTGGAACGACGGTGTTACCATATGCTTCAAACTTTTATGCTATTTAATTTATTCATTGGGAAGTTTAAAAAAAAAATTGCCAGGCGGTTGAACCACCTTGGCACGACTACCTTCCAGGTTAGCCGAAAGGTTACCTTTATGAACAAGATGTATATGCATTAGA